CAGTTCTTTGGGCTGAACCTGACAGGGGCCTTATTGTTAACCAACCCGGCATTAAGCAGCAGCAGGTGAAGGCCAGGGCCCCTACGAACCTGCTGCCCAGGGCCTGGGAATGAGCCAGGAGGGCCGGAACACACCACCGGTAACACACACCAGGGGCGTCTTCCCCGAAGATAGCCCTCCCTCCAGCTCCCGCCATATTGTCCCCTACCCTTACTGCTACGTTTCTCCTTACATACACGGTTCTCATTTTCATAGAACAAAGTGGGCAAAAGCACACTCTTATATATATGACAAGCATGTGGCTCCACTTGACACTGCATTAAAAGTCAATCTAACATTCACTGCAAATTATTTGGGATCTCAACAAGAATCCCATTCTGTATCAGCATCATCTGCATACAAAAGTACACAATCAACCAACACAACCACCAAGGGGAACTCACTGCTGAACCATTCACTAAGCACACCATTTATTCTCACACATGCTTTCTATCTGTCATCTCACCACATTCAGCAACCAACCTTCAACTTTCAACAATTCAAGCCTGTTCCCTTTATAATCCCCCTTAACTCCTGCTCTGCTGATGAATAGTGCCAATGGGGTATACCTGGGAGGGGTAAGCAAAGAAAGCCAGGAGTGTATGCCAAGAGTGCATAATCCCAGCAGGGTCACCCAAATTTAGAAGGTCACCCCAACTGCCCAGCTAAAACAAACAGGCACCTATATCAGGCAGCAGAGGTATAGGAAGAGGCTGGAGGCAGATGATCTCTTCAGTGACAACAGTAAAGGCATCGTTTCATATGGAATAGGAGAAGGCCATGGTAAACCACACCTGCATTTTTACCAAGAAAACCACATGGATTAGAAATATAAAATGACTGATGATATCCTGATGGATGATTGGCCCTTACAGTCAGATGGCACTTAACATGCTACTGAGGATCTTTCAGAGTACTAATGGCGTTTATGACATAGTTAGATTAGTGTCTAGTTGCTGATGTTTCCATGCAGGAAAAGAAAATCCGAAGCTGCAAAGACAGAATTAGAGTGGGAACATGGAACGTAAGAAGCATGAACACGAGAAAGCTCAACACAATGAAAGACAAAATGAGTACACATGGACATCTTAGGCATCAACAAATGGAAACGGACTAAAATTGGACACTCTCAGGCAGAAGATAAGGTTGTTTACTACTCAAGGCATGAAAAACAAAGAAGGAATTATGTTGCTTTCATGGTCAGGAAGGGTATAGCAAAAACAGTACTTGGGTACAATGCAACCAATAATCAAATAATATCAATTACTCTTTGCAGACCACCTTTTAATATGACAACTATCCAAGTTTATGCTCCAATCTCTGACTGGAGAAGAAGAGGAGGGTAACAGGTTTTATGGTCAAGTTCAATCTGAACTCAACAGAACATGCAAGCAAGATGTATTGGTTGTGATTGGAGATTGGAATGACAAAGTTGGAAATATTAAGGATCCTTCATATAAAACAGAATTTCAGTGTGAAAAATAATTTTGAAGAACTCTTGAATGAAATACTTTTCAGTTTACTCAAAAGTTGGTAAAGAGGAATGATGAATCGTTTTCAGTTTTCTTTCACATAACTTAGTAAAAAAAAAAAAAAACTTGAACTTACAATAAAAACAAACCAAGCTCCCACCTTTCTTATTTTTATAAAGAACTCAAGGTGGCGAACATGCCTGATGCTCCTTCCTCCTCCTCCTGTTTTCCCCCCAACAGCCACCACCCTGTGAGGCGAGCTGGGCTGAGAGAGAGGAACTGGCCCAAAGCCACCCAGCAGCTTTC